CAAATTTCAAGAAGCCAACTAGAGATGCCAGAAAATGTATTGTATTGCATTTTGCTTATTCTATCCGAATTTATTTATTTATTTATTTTGTACATTCATAGATGCTCCTGACGAACGTGGTTAGTGCAAAAAGCGAAAACAGAACAAAAAAATAGCTAATTATAGACGTGTCTCCAGCAGCTATAGTCAGGGCCCGGCGGGGGTGGCGCTTTCAGACGCTAGCCTGCCCGCAGGCGGGAATTCAAATCGCAATTCTTGTAAGAGGAAAATAACAAAATATGTTCGTTTTCAATGCACAAGTAACGGTATGGCACCAAATTTGCTGTATAGTTGGAGGACCATGAGCACAAAAAAGTATGAAGAATTATGAGAAACCTATGTGAATTTAAAGAATGGTAAGTGTTTTTCGAAATTAGGTGGCTCCCACGCCACCTGGGAGCAACCTGGGGTGGCTCCCTGCTTCCCTTTTCACATAATTTCCCGGATTTCTTTACATAAATGTGGACTAGGTCGAGAGTATTACTATATGTTCAAATCCGCTTCCAAAACCACCAAGGCACCGCTTCGATACAGCCCCAAATAGGGTTCACAGCGTTATGATCGGCCTCGGAAAGCGCGCTCCAATCGCAATCGGTTATTGTAAATTGTAAAGTTTCGCAGCTGACTAATAAATGAGTAGTATCTTAGATATATAAACGTCAAAGTTTGTGCAAATCTTGACTCTATGTTTTTTATAGATTCCTTTGCGGATGAACCCATTGAGCTGAAACCTTGAAAACATATGTTTTCGGCCGCGGTAGATGGTTTTAAGCTACCCTTCGAAGCAATTCGTGGAATTCTTCTATCGATTTAATGATTTTTGGCACCTTGCAAGGAAAGGGAACACTTACCAGCCGCTAACAAACTGCTTGCACATTTTGGTGTGAACAATGCAGTGAAGTTCATTTCCACTTTAAAATTAGAAGGTGCAGTCACTCCAATAGGTCTTCCTGGGGTAAGCTCGTGCAGAAGGGTAAGGGGGAGGGCTGCAGTGCAGTATTGATACTGCAGAAAAGGGGTGGAGAATGTGGCCCAAAAGGACGGGAAGGTAGAAGGACAAAGTGTGGTTTTTGGCCATCCCCTCAAACGATGACCCGGGCTGGACCAGGGAAGCCAGGTAGTACTACTATAATAAGCGCTGAGGCCGCCAATCTTATTATTTGTGTATATCTGTTTGTCAGGGACTTACGGGAAGTAGGGTCAAAGGGAAGTCGTAAGAAATTTTGGCTTCAAAGGGGATATCGTTTTCAAAATTCTGAAATGCCACCTCCTGCCGGGCCCAAGCTATAGTGGATCCAAATTTAGAAGACAGCAAGCTTAGCCCACTAATTCAACGGCATAAATCATGGTGTGAAAGCCATAAGCGAATCACTTTCAAGCGAATCTAAATATCATCAAAGCTAGTCCAAAAATTGAACATGGAAATTGTAGAAAATAGCCAAACTTAACATGGGTGAAAATCAGGGTTGGAGATCCCTGAAGATTATTGAGCGGACATTAAGGCAATCTGAACATTAGCAAAACCATTAAAAAGAAGAAGAAAATCTGCATCGGATAGTGCTTACAGCGTTTGTCTATCTTTATTCTAAGTGGTTCAAGCATAAGTCTGAGAAACAGCGCGAACTTTCGGACTGACCTAATATAACGCTCAAACTGCAAAATAAGAGTGAACGGTACAGCGAGCGAGGTATAACGGTGTAGTTTTTTCACAACCGTGTCAGATGTAGTGGTTATTATCAGGTTCTGTTAACATGAAATTTCTGTATCGAGAAATACAACATTGACAAACATCCAGTGCACAACAAAGGAGGCGCAAAAATTTTAGCTGGGGAAGCAATGTACTTTGTGCACCTATCTTTAGAACCGCGCCAGTATGTTGTTCTGACTGCTCAATTAAAGTTGAGATTTCATTCAGACTAGTGTTACAATAGAGATGCGCTTCGAAGTTCGAACTACACAACAAGGGAACAATGAAAATTTGAAAATCCTCATCTCGATGTAGGCACTTGTAATTAGCATTCGAATTGACAGCCCATTAAGGACTTCTGGACTATTGTTTCCAATTCTCTTTTATAGAATTGATATTCTCAAAATTTTCAATTTCAAACAATCTGCGAACCAATCAAACTAAGAAGTTGCTATTTGGTATATAAAATACTAATCGTAATCGTCGTATCATTTTCGAGATATCATTTCCGCCAGGATCTTTTGAGACCAGCATGCATCTCATTTTCGTCATAAATTTCTCTTGTGTACTGTTCATTGCCGACGCTTCGCTGATCAACTTTGTTTCGCTGGGAGAATGTGTGCTAGGCTACAATCCTGCCTGGGTAAGTATCGATTAGTTTGTCTTAATATAGGAAAGGAGTAGTATTTACACGGTTGTCTGGAGATCGATGCAGGCTCTTTATGCTAGCGCGGCAGGGCAGATACAAAAGTGTGTAAACGTACTTTTTATAGGGGAAGCAAGCTTTACAAGATGATATTTGAAATTGCAGAGAGTTTGATCCGCATGAAGTTTGAAGCAAGATCTTCAAAAAATGATACCCAATATTCAGAATTTTGTCCAAAAAGATTCTTGCGACTTTAATCACGATGTACTGCCCACTTCAGATTTATTAAGTTACAACATGCTAATATTAAGTTATATTAAATATACTAAGTTAACATATTAAGTTGCTGTATCCTTTCTACGGTCAGATTGAGAAAATGAAAGTCGGCTTGCCTTAACAGTGCTGGATTACCGCGTAGTAATTTTTATACAAAACCGTGGAAGTAAAATTGTAATCCATCCTGCAAGCGCTAGATGAGGAATTTCATTTTCAATATGGAAAACCGGAAAAGGCGCTTTTTTGCGCTCCTGGCCCATTTTATTTCAGTTTTCAGCCATGGAATGGGGAGATAATACACCCCGGCACATATCGCACAATACTTGCACTTCAGAAATTTTCAAAATGTGCAAAAATTGCTCCAATGACCCACACTTTAAAGAAAGGGTAATTGAATTAGCCATGTCGGCCAAACGATGGTTGAGAATATCATATTTTTATTTTGCTACCGCGTATTTGCCACTACATGGCCTGCACGATACATGCATGGGCTGTCGCTAATGCGCTTTGAGGTCACAGCGAGAGTACTCTCGTTTGAATATGAGATTGCATTTTGTACAAATGATACGCCAGTAATCTTGATGCTTATGTGTTGTTGTGATTTGTTCATTCACTTTCGCTTTTGTATTCTTATAAGTTCTCGTAACTTAACAGGAAAGCGTGTTTGGTCGAAGTGGCCTTTCCAGATGAGACATACGCTGCTTTGAAGAGCATTGAGCGGTAGTTTCAAATCTACCTTCCAAATCTAAGCGCCTCTAGACGACGAGTTATGGGCGTTTTTCAGGCAAAAATTTGAACGCAAAACTGGAACAAAATCGCCCAAATTTGCTCGAATGGTCCAGTGTCATGTATCAGAGCCGTTTATGCGATGAATACGTTTTGCCTAATATGCTAATACTTGACACTGCTTCATCTGAGCGCTGGAAAGATTGTAGCATTCGATTTTACCTACATTCTGCGTTCGGAAGGCAGATTTGGAATCACCATGCAATACTCGTCAAAGCAGTATTCGTCTCATTTGAATGACCATTTTGCTGAACACGCTCCCCTTGTTAGATCTAAATTTCTTTATTTTGTTAATTTTTGTAGCTCCCTTGGGACTTGCTGCCGAGGGCACCAGGGGTGTTGCGCCACCAGTAGTTCTTAGCCCCGAAATCGGATAATGCAAAAAAGTTTGTAAAAAAAAACATCATACTTTTGTATTCTTTTTCATCCTTGTAAGGTTTTACTAGCAAAAACTGAAGATCTTTTTGTAATAAAAAAAACGCAGTAAGATCTTAATGATGAGTATACGCAAGATTAAGTCGAAGTTTCGCAGGATCACTTGGAAGGAAGCTTCTTGCTTTGCTGTATCGAACAATAAGTGTCCTATATTTTTATATCTACCCTGCCGCTACGTGTGAAGAACGCGCATTGGTTCCGGATAACCTATCTCCTAAGGCACATCACTCAAAATAGGGGATGAAAGATTCTAGTGCTAGACCGTAGTGGGGGACAAAGCCTGCAAATTGAGGGTTGTTTTCAAAGGCAGTGTCCGGGCAAGAAGTCGATTTTGGGATTTTATGCTTACTCGGGCTATTCGCCATGCTGAATCCAAAAATCCACGCTGGAGGGTTTTACGCAGGGGGAAAACCAGCAAGTGGGCGGGATCTCCTCCGATGTGAATTCGCCTTTCCAGGTTTCGAAGCGATCATCTCGGTTCCGATTTCAAATCACGCGTTCGCACTTGGCAATGGTAATGTCAGGGCGGCTAGCGGAATCTAGAAGTTCGCTCCGGGAGTGGAAGGGTGACTTCACAGTGAGGAAGACCCCGCCCATCTTTTGCTTTTCTCCTGCTTTATAGTCCTTTTCACTGTTTTCGCACCTCTCCCGTGTGGGTTTTCGGTCTCAGCATACGAATAGGCCCGGGTAAGCACAAATATATAAAAATAGACTTTTCTGGAGAAAGCTTTGAAGGACAGCGTCCGCACATGAAGGCTAGCCGAAAAAATTACATTGTAAGGTAATACCTCCCTCCCCGTACTCTTTCTTCAACAAAAAGATCTTGCAAGAGCGAAACTGCGCGAAATTATCACCTCTACACAAAAAATTTTCTAGAGATCCTCCGCTCACTCACTTGCCACGAGTCCATAAAGATCTGCTTGCTAGCGGCAAGCACCGATATCTTTAGACTTTTTCTCTAAGATCATACTTGTTTACTTCTTCGCCCGGGCTATTCTAGGAGGTGCAAAAAGCAATCGTTGAAATTCGTAGGTCGTGTAGCCTTGACGCTATCTTGTTGAGATCTTAGGTTGCTATATTTAACGAGCTTTCATGACGCAACTTTCATCTTCAAATCCCATGAGCCTGGTAATGGCCACATTGCAGTTCCTTCTTCGACATGGCTGCTATTGTGGATTTGGTAATCACGGGAATGTAATGCCTGAAGATGGATATGATGAGTATGGGCTTTAAGCAGAAAAAAAAGACGAGTGTGTTTACAAAATTTTGAATTTAGTTGTTGCCGGAAGCACGATGATTGCTACGACAAACTAGTGAAAGAAGGTGCCTGCTCATGTACTTTGGGGCAATACCTGTTGCCGTACTGGTTTAGATGCAACAAATGTCAGGCGAAATGCTATTGTAAGTGCAACATACAGAAAGAAATAATTTTTTATTTGAAAAAAATACCTTCACAATTTACATTGCCGTTCCCCTTCAAGTATATCGGGTGGTATAAGCGATGTGCACTCGAACTGTGCGAATGCGACAGAAAGATGATGGAGTGCTGGAGGCGAGAACAATGGCTTTATGAAAGCGGAGCTCCACCGGATAAAAAGACTTGCAGAAAAACCACAAATGCTCTAACACCTCAGATCACGGTCTCTAAGGAACGCTCCTGGTGGGAAAGGCAGTTTGAGCGTATACTCTACCCTAACAAAAAAGAGGTGAATGAAGAAAATACGAATAGAATAGACGAATCCGAGATGGATAAACCAGGATTGAAGTGTAAAAAATATGCAGTAGGAACGGTAGCTGATGTGAAAGGAACTGAAATTTCGAATGAGATACACTGAGTATTATGAATGCTTCTTTGAATAAAATTTGAATTCACATAACAGACCTCTAATTGGCTCAAAACTAACTGAAGTTGATAAAAACATGGCGCGCTTTTCTAGCAGAGTTAATCACACTTGTACTCTAAACATTTCTACCCAAAATGCTCTTTTTCTCTTCTAAACTGCTTGCTTTTATCTAGCCGCAAAATGCAGAATTTGAATGCCTTCTGAGAAATTTTCTGAAAACTCAGAAGCAGCATCTGAAGTCATAGACCAGCCAATTTCGGTAAAGCATCGAACGTCTGTAGCAAGTGATTGTTTGCAAATCAATCTAATATTCAGTTTGGTTGGCACATTGAAACTTTTCAAATAAATTTTGTGAATATGGCGTTTCCATTTTCGGTATCATGTTAAATATCATGTGAGCAAGAAATGTAGCACATTTTGCCGAATTCAGTCATCGCATTGGAGAGTTAAGGTAAGGCATTTTGAATGGCAAAGAAAAGGGAATTATCACAGTTTTGAATGAAACTTGGTCTAGGGATGTTATACGCCATTCTGATTACGAAAATGATATTTTCGCGTTGAAGGCTTATTTTGCTACGGAAAAGTTGAGCTAAAAAAGTCAATGAGCCAATTTTTGACTCTGACAACAACTGAATATGTTTTCGTGTTCAGCATGTTAAATCACCCCATTGTAAAATTTGCGATAAAAACCAGCAAACAGGAACGATATCCACGAAATAATGGAGGAAAATGGACTTCCAAACCCCATTTTATTCGTTTGCGGTAGAAACTGGTCGGAATCTACTTTCGCTATCGTTATCCAAAAATTTTTATCTCATCGCAACCACGAGACAAAGCGGTGTGATGAAAATGATTCAACCCTGCTTGAGCTCTCGCTTGCGAAAGAATCATGCGAAAAGTCCATTTAGAATGGGGCAACATGGGATTTACCTCCATTTTAAATGGACTTGAAAGCCCATTTTACTCCCAGCAGCAAGGTGAGCTGGGACTAAGCCCATTTTTGTCCTTTTTGCATATTTTTGATGGCGTTTTTTGAGAATGTGTTCCTCAGCTCATTCTAAGGTAACAAGTGAGTGGAAAAAGTTTCCTGTCTTTTATGAAGTCTGAAATAATTTCTTTCTAAACTCATACAAGCAAGAAAAATTTTGTGAAAAATTTTCTACTAGCAATAGTTGTCAAACGCCATAAAAATCATGGAAGAAGGTTAAATTCACCAAAATATTCGCTAAAAAACTCAAATGCTTCCAAATATCAGGTCGATGCGAATATTCCTATGTAAATCGAATAAAGTTTGTTAACTCTTCAAATTATCAACCAAAACTAAATTCATGATTTGTATTTGAGAAAAAAAGATGTGCGTTTTAATACAATTACTCAGAACCTATCTTTTGACTATTCTCGTAGAAGTGAACCTCAAAGACGGCATTTCAAAGGCGATTTTGAGATTGGTCGCAAGAATTACTGAAATGCAGCTAGCTAGCAAGAAAAATTTTGTGAAAAATTTTCTACTAGCAATAGTCCATACATTCAACTACTTAGAGATATAAACATCAATGCTGAAAGACAAAGAAGAGCTAAAGTAGAACATTTGCGAAGTCATCCTCTGCGACTCGTAGTTTTCCGATTTAAAGAGCCCTTTGGGTTGTAGGGCAAGGTTTCCTACGAGTTAAGCATTTTGCCTCACAGATTGCAGTGTCTAGCCAAAGTTTGCTTTCCCCAGAAAGCCCTACCTACGAATTTGACTTAAAGCAGATCCATAGAAGTCTTGAGAAGCGAAGGCCCGGATATCATGTGAATTCTATTCTTGAAGATGTTTTCGATGCATAGTTATCCATAACAAATGGCATTTTTTGATGTATAATAAAGTGTGAAAGCATAGAATATTCATGTGATTGTCATCGTAATGTTAGGTCAGCCCTACTTAGATACCGACCACTTGGTAGAAATGAGTTTACAAGAGTGAGTAAACAGGTTGAGGCAAGTTGGAGAAAGGTTTGCTGAAGAAGTTTTGTATGGAATGAATGGATTCGCGAATGCGATATCTTATCGCACCGCAAGGACTAAGGCAGGCGCTATACTGCTCGAGGAGTATAGCATGGCGACGGACGATCGTCAGTCGCCAATACTGGCGACTGTGTCTTTTATGCGTATCGATCGCTAACAAGTTACCACACGTCCAATCGATACACATTTAATGTGTAGTCGCCAACATGGCGACTGGCGATCGCCAATATCGGCGACAAAAATCGCCAGTTTTACACTTATTTGATGCATATCGATCGTCGCCTTGCTATACTCCTCGGGGAGTATAGCGCCTGCCTAAGTCCATTTTATTCGCACGAAAAGCCCATTTCGCGGGGACTTTCGTGGGTATTGTTCCAGGATAGTAGGTCATTCGGTACACTCTTTTCAGCAGTGCAAAGTTTGTATCAAATGAGCATCTCTGTGAAGAATTAAGATTTTCGAAAAAAATGCCAAATAATCAAATTTGCTGTTTTGTATTGCTTACCAACAATCATAGCTCTTCGCAGAGGTGCTCATTTGATGCGAATTTTGCACTGCTGGAAAGGGTGGAGCAAAAGACTTGCCATACTGCTTGCTGGGAATTTCATCGCTACTTCTCGGTTTTCAGCAGTTTAACTCAAAATGATCTAAGTTGAAGTGATTTTATTCTCCTGCTTCCATCTCAAAAATTGCCTTTTTATTGAAGAACGGCAAAGGCACTACCACAAAGAGACGGGTTTTCCTCTACTCAGTAAAATTGAGTTTGTGCAAATTCGTTGAGAGAGAGCAAGATTATGATTATTTGAAAACTAGCTGGCATGCCCAGCTTTGCCTGCAGCGTGGGTTTAACTGGCTTGAGCGAAATTGGCACGTAGCCCTAGAAGTTCAACTTATCTGCGTTTCGGCTTCCTCCTTTTTCTCTTGTGAAGCACAGCAGATACTGCTGAGCGATCGCCGTGAATCACCGAATCTCCCCCATCGTGGAATGAAAATGAGCTTTATTGCTGAAAGTTGTAATTGGTTTGATAGTACTTGATAAGCGTTCATTTTTCCTCAAAATAGATAAATCAATAGAAGGAGTGGGATTTTTGCCAAAAGTAATCTACGGGGTGGGCCGGTGTCGAATGCATGTGTCGCAAAGTTTGGCGCTGATCGGTCCACACATAAAAATTTCTATAAAGAACACACTAACTAAGAATTTGCCAACAAACTTCATATATGTATAGATGGTGAGACAGAACTTTTTGCATCAACCTAAATACTACTATCGAGTATGGTGGAGAAAAAGTGCTAGACCGGTGTGATTATTTCAACTCAACTAGAACTGAAGAAGACTGTCGTGAGCATAGTGATTGACTCCAGCGTCGAATTCTCAGCCAGATTTCATTTCTTTATCTCTTACCTTACACATACGGAAAGGCCACCAAAGAAGCTTGCTGTGTAAATTGGACATGGTTTCCGTAACCAGTATGTCAAATGACCTCTGTGAGCTTCACATACCATTACCTATCAAATTTCCTAGTGTCTCTCAGCGTCTAAAAAGCATCTCTTCAAGCACGTTTAATTTAGTTTCATTAGCGAAAGAAGTGAGCTCTTCCATACCCATACTGAGGTAATATCCTCTATCAGTTCATGCTATGAATCAGACTTCACATCGATTTCAATTAGTGGATTAGGTAGTACAGCCAAATTTCCAACCTGCGTTCTTTGTTTGAGTGCTTCAAATCTATGGATACCACAAAGCCGAAACAAGTTGAGGTAGGCTCAAACACTCTGATTTATAATAAAATATTCGAGGTTTGCGCTAATGAATCACATTAAATTTTTGTGAAAAGGCTTCCTCGGAGATAAAGTTAACGTCAAGAAGGTCAGGCCGCATGAGCATTTGTAGCCTTGAGCCTTGAACTCTTTAACTTGCCTTCAGAAAAAAAAACGGTCCCCGTTCTGTTATAAGTGTGTAGCTCCTAGCCTCTTCTTGCCGCAGTGAAATTGGAACCATCCCATCCCACCCCAGTTAAAATTATGCCTTCTTCGATAAGCCCATCTAGATCAAAATCCGCCGTCAATTAACGTTTGTTAGTAAAAGTGCAGTCCCTGAAAATAGAGCGTACGGAATTCAAAAATTCAATATATCAAGACAGGATGATGTCCTCTAGGATGTCACACTCTGCGACAGCCCTTGAACAACCCTTTTGAGACAGAGGGATCGTTCGGGGGCTGTTACGGGGATGGGTCGAAAGACTAATTGCTGACCTCCTGCTCAACTCTGATATGGGCGTTTGAGAAGCAGAAAAGTTGTATGTGCGAGAATAATATCGATAGTAACATCCTGAACAACCTGCAGTTAAATAGTGTGCGGTATGGGTATATCAAACAATATTTCATGTACAGAGTTGTTTGGAAGACTTTACTGCTCTATTTGAGCACGCGGAAGGCTCCTGTATATAATTTTCTTCATCACCTTTGAAATTTCCGCCACAAAAACTTTTATAAGTTCTCGTTTAAAGGCGCTCCGCAGATAGGGAGGACAGATTTGGAATCAATGTTCGATGTCCTCTAAGACTATAACCAAATGCATGTCATCATAAAGACCACTCCGACCAAAATCCAACTTACAACTTGAACCCCACTATTCCAAACTGCATTTGTCTGTTTGTTAGATATGATGATTGTATGCCGTTTAGAATTATCTTTACTTACGTGCACATCATATGGTGGCACTTACATTGGCGAAACAGGACACTCGCTTTGCTCTCGCGTTACAAAACATATACATAAATACATCTATTCACCCTCAGCGCTTATATACAAGTAATACCGCGATGATTCCTTTTATGGCTTGAGTTGGGCGACTTCGACTTCGATCGTCTTTGATGACAAGAATTCATTCTTGCTCGTGCCAACCAGCGCATTCTCGTGACGTTGCGATCTTGGTCCATGACTTCTCGACCAAGTAGAGCAGTGGACCAGCCACGGTTTCTTCCACC